AGATCTAAAACAAGTGCATTTTCAAAGAATCTCCTTAGAAAATCATCATCTTCGGTATTACAATTATAAATAAAAGGGTACGTGTTTTCGGTGCAGAGCACAATGATTGGTACAGAACGCTCTAAGAAGTACCTTTGATTGATGAGTATTCTATCTTTCCCAAGAAGGAGTTGTGCATATTTTCTACCATTGAATACCCGTTCATTCATTTTATTTGTTGTGGTAAAATTGTAAATGTTGTCTAAACATAACACGACACATTCATTGGAGTTGTATATATGTAGTTAAAATTCATTACGAAAATGTGCGATCTTTATCCCATAATTTACCAATGATTCTACAAGACTCCATTTTCCCTTTCTATTTTTCATGACGAGAACAGAACACTTACGGCCTGGCTTTCTTTTTTGTTTATTTAAAATATTATTGCTTATCCAATTATTTACTATTTTTGGAATTAAAAAATCTTCAGGTTTCCACTTTGATCTGGTAACTAAAATCTTTGCTTTTAAATTCTCTTGCTGTGCATCTGGTTCCAATGCTTTTAATTGTGATGCTTTCATAAAAAGATTTGGATTTTTTTTGAGTATTAAATATGCGGTTTTTCCTTTTCCCAATAAATCTAACATCATCTTATAATTTGCTATTTTACTTTCATTCTGATTATCATTTTTACTAACATTTTTTTGGGGTTTCTTTTTCCATAAACCAGGATCACGTAATGTCATATCTTGGTCTAAATAGTCATTATTGTTAGAGATAACTGATACATCATCAGCTATTTCTTCTTCAGATCTATCTTGTACTCGTTTCCTCGATCCTATCTTTTTATTTAAGTTTTCAAATATATACTTTTCAATAATGATCCCATTCCTATTCTTTATTTTAAGTGATCTTCTACTTTGCATACAGGTTTCTTTTGTTGGAAGACACTCATCACATACATCTTCAGGGTCTATGTAACTACACGAACAATGTTTATATACAGCGCATTTATCATATCTCTTTACAAAATACTTATGTCTACATTCTGCATCAGTTTTATATGGTCTATCTGAATTCTGCTTTCTACACGGGTTAAAAGTTGGCACGACGATATGTAAATTGTTTCCAAAATGTTGCTTTACATATTTTCCAGTAACTCTAGTATTAAATTGAATGTACCCTTGTAAATGAAGTTTTTCAAATTCACTTCCCTTCTCAAATCTAGCCGAATAAAACCCAAGAGTTTTTATCTCTTTCTTTTTAAGATTAAAATCCTCTTCATATATGACCCTTGACCATTCACATTTTTTATCCTGGAGATAACAGTTTCTACATGAAATTATTTTATTGTAGAAATCACAACATTTTCTACAAGTTTCATCTTTACACCTTTCATGATTTTCTTTATAGTTACAAATTTTATTAGTTCGTGTGGTATGTTCAGAATCACATACTGGGTATTGGATTATCAGACAACGTGAATAGTCACAGCATGTTTCACATGTTCCTTCCCTACATCTTTTATGATTATATTCACATAAACAGTCT